CTGTGTCTCCATCGCGCTGACCTCACTCTCTCCATCTGAGTCGCAGTCCAAATGTTCCTGCTCTCGCTCTGGAACGTGATCGTCACCTGCCGTCCCGCCTGCACCTTCGCTTGGCTCTATTTTTCGCTTCAGTCACCGTCACCTGTAGCTTCTGGTTCGTTCTCATTTCTTCTTCTCTCGCTCCCTCCACGTTCATCTTCAACTTAGCCTCATCTCCCCTGTCGAGCTTAGGATGGTGCCTTAGCCTCATCTTCCCCGTAGTAGTTTAGGATGGTGGTGATCCAGGGACCCTCTCCAAACATCAGGGACCACCATGTTATGAGGTTCCAACAGTCCGACCTACAGCCATGCAGCCCATTTCCGCAAGGCCATAGCCGCACACTCCCCGAAATAGCCTGAGCTTGGTACCCAGCGCACGCGCACACAGACAGTCTACCACCAGCTCACTTCACCGTTCTGCCCTCCGAACTCAGATCATCAACACTGGCAAAACGGGGCTGCCTGTGCACACCTACTGGCCAATCGCCAATGACTCGTCCTCCTCACCTTTTATAGGATCTCTACATACTGCAATCCCCGCGTTCTGAATGAGAACCTCAGATAGCCTTTTAAATTCTGCGTATTTGTAATTAGAACTCAACGAACAGCACAAGCGGTCATAGCACAAGCGGAACCCTCTGCTATGAATCACTAGTCACTTCGTCTTGGCATGAAGTTATTGCAAGCTTGACGCGGCGGTCCCATAACGGGGTATCGGCGAACGCCCCCCTCCCTTTAAAGAAGATCATCAGACTACCCCTGATGGGTACCCATGTCCGATGGCAAGGAGGCGGCTCATGACCTCCCGCGGGGTGACGAGTCTCCTACCGACGCGGCCGCGGGTGCTCCCATTTTAGGGCCCGGTACTGATTGCACCTCATCGGTCAACCTCATCGTGGCTGAAGTGCGAGGGTCAGGCAGTCTAGGCCTCCAATACTTAATTCAGAATTTGAAATTGAACCTTTTGTTCCCCCGCGAAATGACTGGAGGGGGGGGACGGAGAATTCATAAAGATTAAATAAAAGAAAAAACACGAATTAACAAAAAGGGAAAAGGGGAACGAAACACCGCGACCATTAGGGGCAGTCAGATTTGCCTTTTCCACAATCAAGGTTCAAGTTCAGATGCAGATCCGAGGCGCGATGTCTCGATTTTCCTCTCTTTTTCACTTTCCTCTCCTTTATATTTTTCTCCTCTCCTTTAAGCTCTTGTCCCATAACCTGACTATAGGGGGCTCGCCGCGCAGATGAAAGACTGTGCCGACTTTCCCACCTCCGCGTCCTTGGACGAGCCCGGCAGCTACCGCGGTCACAGGCCGGTTGTGCTCTGCTGTACAGCAAGGCGCCGAGCCTGCGTGGACCAATAGAAAGTCCAGTGGTGCACTGTTACATGCCCAGTTGGGCGATGTACATATAAAACCGAGGATCCGCAATGTGATGAGAAGGACTGAATGGACAATGCAGTGCTAGTGAAATCTCAACAAGCAGTTTACATCCGGATACATACAAAGATGGTGTTTTATGGAGCAGTGGAAGATTTAGATACAAGTCCTGACCTGACCGGCCTCTCACACGTAGTACAAGACAGCGTAGCAAAATACTAGAATACCAATGACTGATCCAATCAATGTCGCAATGCAGATCAAACATACATCCTCCTTATCACAAGGCGTGAAGGGGCCTGGCGCTATACACAGGAAGAATGTGCCAGGTCCAGATCACGCACAGACGAAGAGGAGGGAGTCAGACGAAGAAGAGGGGGGTGAGATGGGGATGTCGTCACACCAAGTCTTTGTTACAAGTCCCAAATAATCCCTCGTCAAATATCTGAAACCCAATATCGAGTCTGGACCAAATGACACCAATCCCGCTCTCTCGTAGTCTGCTGATGCAGTGAAGTCAGGTAGCGAGAGGGTGAGAAGAAGATGGTGGACTGAGAAGAGGAAGAAGAAGAACTCTCTCTCTCTCATGTGCCAGGTACTCACCTGTGAAGATGGCGCTTTGCTGCAGGTACCTCGAAGACGAAGTTGGAACTATGGCGCTGCAGGTAAGTCTCCCTGGCCTCCGCCCAATCTCTCTCTCCTCCAGTGCTACTCTACCTCCTACTAGCGCCTAACGCTGAACACTACTGCTAACGCTGCTAGCGCCCAGCGCTGAAGACCACAGCTAGCGCTACTACTACTCCTGCAGCGCTCCTCCAGAGTGCTGCTGCCTCCTGAACTGCACGTGAAGTCCCTGGGAAGTACCTAGGAACTACCTGCCGGCCTGCAGGGTGGGCCAGTCCTATATAGTGCTGGCACGTCCAGGAGGTTGCTCTTGCCAATGCCTAAACGTGCCAGACCCTGGCATTGAAGCTCAACCAGGAGTTGTCTTGAAAACAGGCCCGAAATGGCCTTTGCTAAAACCCTGGTTTGTTGACTGGGTTTCACGGCGGGTCGAACTGATGAGGACCTGAAAATGGCCCTCAGTTTCAAGCTGAAAAGACTCTGGGCCGAAAAGGCCCTGTTTTAGCCTGAAACGACACAGGGCCTGTAGGCCCTTGTTTTCAGGCTTTCAGTTGAAACGACACGGGGCCTGTAGGCCCTTATTTTCACGCTTTTGGCTTGAAAACGTCACGGGCCTGAAAATGGCCCGTGCAGCATGTAACATGCACCCACCCTTTTGCCAGTGGAGGCATCGAGTGGACCAGTCTTGCAGCACAGTGCGTCCCAAGCGAACCTGGAATGCCACGGGGTTTCCTGAGCGGGTATCCGGTAAGGTACGTGAGCAGACCACAAGCGGTTATCGGGTAGCTGAAAATTCAGGAATGAAAATTCTGAAGTGAGAGTCTTGGGCAGTCTGAAAATCCTGAATGGTCCTGAAGTGGTGAAAGGTCCGAAGACCCTGGAAACCACCTGTTTAGGCAGGTTGCATCCTGAAGTGGTGAAGGGTCTCCTGAAGCGGTCAAGTGAGAGTTTTGGGTAGTTTGAAAAGTCTTGAATAGTCCTGAAGTGGTGAAAGGTACGAAGACCATGAAAACCACCCTTCACCACTTTAGGATGCAGCCTGCCTAAACAGGTGGTTTTCAGGGTCTTCGGAGCTTTCACCATTTCAAGACCATTCAAAATTTTCAGACCTGAATGGTCCTGAAGTGGTGAAAGGTCCGAAGACCTTGAAAACCACCTGTTTAGGCAGGCTGTATCCTGAAGTGGTGACGAAAAATACGACTGTTGTTAACCTTCTCTCGAGCAGACACCTGGTACGCAGCGGAGGGCCAGAACACCGCGCCCTCCGACAACGCACCCGCACGTGCCCTGGCTGCTAACGCAGCACGCAGCCTCTCGTGCAGCGTGACCACAATGCCTGCACGGGCCCGCCGAGCCTGCGTCGACCAATAGAAAGTCCAGTGGTGCACCCACCCTTTTGCCAGTGGGGGCATCGACTGGAACAGTCCTGCAGCATGGTGCATCCCAAGCAAACCTGGAATGCCACCGGGTTTCCTGAGCAGGTATCCGGTAAGGTACGTGAGCAGACGCCTCGTATGCAGCGCAGGGCCGGGACGCCTTTCGACAACGCATCCGCACGGGCCCTGGCTGCCAACGCAGCACGCAGCCTCTCGCGCAGCGTGACCACAATGCCTGCACGGGCCAGCATGATAGACCCTGGCTGCTCTTCCTCCTATATGGAAGTGGCAGCCTCTGTTTGGCTGCTTGTGGCCTGGCTGGGAAGCTTCCAGTAGCATTTGGTCGGGCCCCAGTGCCTGCGCCCAGGCCCAGGCCCTTTTCGGTTGGGCACGCCCAGAATTTCCAGACTTGGGCCGTTTGCTGCATTTGCACAGGACCCGGGGTATGTACGTCGACAATGCTGCTTTTTCGTAGGCCCGTAGCCACTTCGTGATGTATCTGCCTTGCATTGTGTGTGTGCCCAGGCGCAACTACCCAGGCGTGGGCCCAACTGTATGGCGCAGCACCGGGAGGCTCACGTTTCCTCTCAACTAACTGGCGTGCTGCAACTGCCTGAGTACCCACATATGGAAAATGCCAAATTTTGGCCTCTGGTGAATATTCAGGCCCGGTTTCACTTAGGGCGGGCACGGGGCTTGCTGAGGGCCTCTGCCCAGAACATGTGCATGTCTGATAAGGGCCCTGCGAGGGCTCATTCCTCGCAAATTCATCACACGAGCAAAATATTTCAAATTTAACGATAAGCTAAGGCTATACACGGGCAAAATCTTTGAAATTTAACGAAAAGATAAGGCTATCAGAGTGTCACGGGGCAAGTTGCCCGGCCAGGCAAAAAGAAAATAAAAAATTACTTTTTTAATTTTGATGTGACCGTGATGCAGGGGGCTTATGCAGGTATGCCGAGGGATAAAAAATCCTCGCAAAAGTGAAGAAGCGGTATTTTGTTGTCACTTTCGACCCTTCCAGATGCTTGCGTTCGTTGATTGCAGGCGGTATGCATTAACACCAGTTATCAGCACCAAAATTGAAAAACACATACAAAAAGAGGCAACATACCCTTGTGCAATTCATCGCGCAAGCAAAATATTTCAAACTTAACGAAAAGCTAAGGCTATCAGAGTGGCCCGGGACAAGTTGCCCGGCCAGGCAAAAGGAAAAATAAAAATTACTTTTTAATTTCGATGCGACCCTGATGCAAAAGCTGTTCAGTTTACTTTTGTGCATCACATTGTTTCTTAAAGAATTTTGCTGCGACCCTGATGCAAAACTTTTTTTCAAATTATTTGGATTTTTTTTTTTTTTTTTCTGGGCCCTTTGCTGGTCCTCGCATGGCCGGGGCGCCCAGTCAAACAAGGTGGCCCGGGTGGCCCGGCTGGAAGCCCAGACGAAAAGTCAGTTTACTCAGGATGTATTCCTAGGCTATGTTCGTGGTAAGAATGATAACAAAGCTCCACAATGACGTTCAAGCACATCTCTCACAAACATTTGGCCATCCAATTGGTCCATTGGCTTCTCATACCACAATTGCCTGCTGCTCTTCATCAATTGCAAGTTGAAGCGCTGAACGACGAGCTGTTTCTGCATTCACTATAGTTGCAAGCACTGTCTGGCGTTGCTCTTCCATTGCTCGCAATTGCTGAGACTCCGCTGCAGACGCCTCGTCAAGCTCTGCTTTCAGTGCCTCCACATCGTTCATTCGCTGCTTTTGTGCTTGTGAGATGTATTTCATCTCATCCTTCAGCTGCACATACGACACAAGTAAAGCTCAGAGAACAGGCCTGGACAGTCGTTTCCCCCCTGCACAGCCTCCCTCGCCAACAGTTGAGCTGAATGACATCCACGATCGAGAGATGATTAACGGAGGGCCGAAAATTCACCCTTGTCACCGGCAATTTCGGTACAAAATTCAACGAAATTTTCAAAAACAAACGATACGTGTCACATGCCAAGTGGCCAAGAACCGACCTCTCACAGATGGAGTAAGGATAGCACAGAGGAAGACTGAAATACCAATAATCAGACCCAATCAATGTCGTGACACAGACTGAACGTCATCATCATCATCATCATCCTCACATGGTGTGAAGAGGACCTGGCGCTATAACACAGAGACGAAGCGCCAGGCAGCAACATACATAGATGAGGAGGAGGGAGGAGAGACGAAGAGGGGGAAAGAAAGGGGAGATGTCGCCAACCCAAAATGTCGTCGATACCGATCCCAAAACAGTCCCCCACAATGCTGCTGATCATATGTCAAGTCTGAATCTCAATGTCACTAAGTCTCGATGTCGCAACTCTCTCTCTCTCTCTCTCTCTCTCTCTCTCTCTCTCTCTCTCTCTCTCTCTCTCTCTCTCTGTGTGTGTGCGTGTGTGCGTGTGTGTGTGTGTGTTGGGTGACAGGTACTAACCTGTGAAGGTGCCGCCTTGATGCAGGTACGGAGACACGGAGGACGAAGCTGGAGCGCTGAAGCCACAACAGGTAAGTCCTCAGGTAAGTCCCCTTGCCTCCACCATAGCTCAGTCTCTCTCTCTCTCTCTCACACAGGCACCTAGCTTGGCGCCCAAATTCGAAGCCATCCTGCTATCGTTGACTACCACTAGTGCTATGCCAAATGCCTACTGAAATACTGGGCCGAAACGACACCGGGCCTATCCGGACCTAACCCAACCCCTAGTCCTATGACACATGCCCAATGGGACAATGCGTAGGGAGCCAATGATCGGCAATGTGATGAAAAGGACTGAAATGGACAATTCAAGGTCAGCGTAGCATCAACAAGCAATGTACATTCCGATACATACAAGATGGCACAAAGTGGCGCAGTGGAAGACTTAAAAGAGAAGATCTGATCTGATCCAGACTGACCCGACATCCATCATACATCACACATGTGAGAGGGGAGGAGGGACCGCAATCACAGAAGGAAGGTCCCTCCTTCGCACACATACATGGGGAGATACCACGGATGAGAGATGGGGGGAAGGGACAAGACGAAGGAGGCGAGGGAGTAGACGAAGTCCCAAAGATAGTCCCTTGCCAAGTGTCCAATCAATGTCTGTCCCATAAATGTCGAATCAGATCCTGGGCGATGTGCCCAGCATAACCTCTGCCTGTATTCCCTACCGATAACCTCTCTCACTCTCGTAGATGAAGAAGAAGATAAGAAAGAGGACGGAGGAAGAAGGAGAAGGGAGAGAGAGATGGAGGAGGAGGAAGAAGAAGATGACGTCCTCCTTGCTATCTCACCTGCAGGTAGCTGTCACCGTACTGACTGTGGTCGTCGTCGTGTGGAGCCCGGCTATGGCGCCAGGTAAGCTCGCCGTTTGCAGGTAAGGCCTCCGCCTCTCTCTACTACCTACGCCCCTACTCCCTACTCCGTAGCTTAGCACAGAATAACGCTGCCTCCAACCAGCAGCGTGTCGCTCCAGAAGTGAGCTACTCGAACTGTCCTTGCCCAGCCGCTGCCCAGCTATTTGTAGTGCTGGGCGGGCTCGGCCTACCTGATGCTGGCCTCAGAAAAACGGCCCGGCTGGTCTGGGTCCCTACCGGACGTCCAGACCATGCTGCTGATGCAGCAAGGCGCAGAAATGCGCCTGGCCAAAAAATGGCCCTGTACCTGTGCACCTAGCCCAAGGCGTCGCCTTGGGACCTGCAGGGCCGAAACGACGTCTGCACCTACCGTCTGGTGCCAAAATGCGCCTGACCTCGTTTCGGGCCTGCCTCCAGTGTACCCAGTCCCAAGGTCCGGCCTTGGGGCTGCAAGTCCAAAACGGCACCTGAACAGAAAGTAAGACAGCACACACACACAAAAAGGTGAGTAAAACTAAACCTATCTAACTAGTGTGCTACCTAGGGCCTGGAGGGCCGCCATGGGCCTCCAGGGCACGTGCTGTATGGTACGCGGCCTGGGGCCCCCTCAGCAACCGTCGGGCCCCTCAAATGGGGCCCGTGTGTAGGCGCAGCATGTAACATCCTACCTGAACGGGCCCGGTAGGGCCCGTGTGGAACTCAGAATGCCACAATATGGGCCCATAATCCCTACATAAAAATAAAAAAAAAAACAGGCCAAAGAAAACTAACAAAAAAGCAAAAACAAAATATACAACATAAAACACTAACACAAAAACACTTTCTGAGTTAAAATGACGCAACAAAATGCCATCTTTTTCATTATTGATCCAAACATGCGGTGCGCCATGACTCCATCCTTCTCTACACCAGTAACAAGGCATCCAGGAAAAAAAGCACTGAACATACTTGCAGTGAACCTATGCTGCGCACCATGTGGTGCGGTGCCGTGCGCCATGCGCTGTGGAACATGGGCAAGATGCACGCACAGGGGGATGGGGTGCTTTTTTTTTCCCGAAGTGTGTGTGTGTGTAGGTGTGTGTGTGTGTGAGCGTGCCCGTGCGCGTGTGTGTGTGTTTTAAATTTCCACCACAACAGCCCCTTTTCCACCCAGAGAGTAGATTCGAGTTGAGACAGCCCAACAATTCAACAATTTCACCTCTTTAGCAAGCAACATGAATAATTCAACCATTTAGAACTGCGTTTCGCTGTGGTTTCTTTGGGACGTGTGTGCGTGTGCGTGTGTGTGTAGGAAGTGCAATAGCAACCACTGCGACCCGAAACATGGGAACCTCCACTTGGTTCATCTTACCTTCATCCATGGTACTTCGCACTCTCTAACCACATAGGATCAGCACCATCAGTCCCTGTAGACAAGGGTTAGAACAATTGACAGAAATAAGTGAATAGAGGAAGAGAGAGGGGTAGTGAGAGAGAGAGGAAGGGGGAGCAGTTATGGTCATGGCCATCAGACATCGGCATTGTAGCCAATGGAGGAGGGCTGGCGCATTCCCTGAAGCGCTTTTCGACACTTGAGCCCGTCACGCCTCATCAGAGAGAGATTGTCCTCTGGCTCCCAATGTGGGGGTGAGGGCTGGAGGGTGGGGCTGTAGCATTGTAGCTCCACTTACCACGTGCTCATTGATGTGCAGCATCAGGGATGCAGTAAACCATAACCACCATCGGCCTCATCGTCGAAGAGGAATATCTGCACAGTCTGCCGATAGCCTTCTCACCAACTGCACTAGCCTTCTACCTCAAGGGGAGAGATGTAGGCTCATATACCTTTATCGGAAAAAAGGTTAGTTCTTTTCTGCTGCATTTTGCTTGTCTTCGCGTGGGACTTCAGGGGTTCAGGAGTCTGACGTTTCAGGCAAGCTTGGTCTTTCGTTTTTTTTGGCAGCTGGGTATTACACTTCTTGTATGAGGGGGTTGTTGCTTTTTTGGGGGGGTGGATGTTATTTGCTGGGTATTAGTTTTAGGTGGGTTTGTCAAAAATGAAAAAAAACGGAACTGTGTCTCCGTGGGGTTTGAGGCTGTATGTTGAGGGGGTAGCTTGTCATTATGCTCAGTTTCAGGGGGTGAGACTGGTGCCGGTGTGCGGGGCACCAAGCTAGAATGGTATCATAGTTGCCCAGGAAGGTCAGGGTTAGGGATTTTTAAAGAATGTTGTTCTAGTTGGAGTTTTGGTTCTGTTTGTGTGGCAGGTGAGTTGTTATACCACGTTGTTTGATTTTTGCTCGAGAAGATGAGCAGTTTATTTTTGGGGCTGAGCCTGAGGCGGTGGGTGGGGTGCGGGTGGTATATGGAGAGTCTGCAAGCTGCTGTGGCGCCTTTCGGGGGTTGAGCCTGGGGCCGGTGGGTGGGACACCAGGGGGCATGGTGTTGTAGTTATTTAAGGGATGCACACAGTTGCAGTAACCCTGTTCAGCAGCAGTCCGGGGCTCAGAACTTCGACCCCGGAAAACACAGACTCAGTTGTCTGTGCTGGGCTGTGTGACCGAGACAAGCCCAGCCTTGAGTCTGTCGAGGTGGCTGTGTGACCGAACGCGGCACAAAGGAAATTCAAGAGTCAATGTCAACTGTAGAGTCAAAGGTACCGCACCCAGGCCCTTGGTTGGATACATTCACTTGTTGTGCGCAGGTACCAAGACAGCATTCAGGGCGGGAGGAATACAGTTTCTGGCCAATCTGGGCCCTCATTCACATCGAGATCTGGACGGTGCAGGCCTACAGCACCCGGGGTCCAGACCCCGCACCAACACATCTTAAGAGTTGACTTCCTGGCTGGATGGGCATTCAGTCTTGCGTGCATGCTGACTTCACGCATTGACTTTGATGCAGCCGCGACGCTGCGATATTGGCTGGACGCTGGCTCTATGCTGGCATAGGAAGGAGGACGGCGAGGCGCTCCTGGCTGGCATGGTGGCTGGCTGGCGATTGTCTTCTTGGCATGCTGATGTGGCAGCTGCCACGCGCCGTTGCTGACGTGGCTGCTGCCACCTGTACATGATGACGTGGCGGGCTGCGTGATTGATGAGACTGTTCTGATTCTTC